GATTTTTATTACATGAACTTTATTTTTTATTTTTCTTTTATTTTTTTCTTCATTTATTTATTTTTCTTTTTTATTTGTTTATTTTTATTTTTATTTTTTTTATTTTATTTTTTTTGACCTTTCGGCTACAGAGTGCGTCGATGACGAAGCAAAATCAGAACAGTGCCTAGCGGGAGTGCCACTAGCACGCAAGGGATTACAGAGAGTGAAAGTAAGAGTCAAGAGAGGTGTTTCCTGAGGAAAGGATAAGTTAAAGTACGGGGATCAATGTCAAGGCATTTGACGATGTCGATTGACATTACATTTGAATATCTGAAGATTATAGCCACCAGGGAAGCAAGTGAGGCGAAGAGAGTTCCACTGTCGGGAAATGCGAGAGAAGAAGCTGTTGGAGTAGAAGTGGCGGTTATATGTAACTGTTCGACAGTAATTCCTTCTAATATAGTAGAAAATTGCTTTTACCTCTGAAGCAGGAAGTTGGTCAGTGGTCTTGACGCATGAAAACGCCCGTCTCGACGTTGTAAATACAATGCAGCAAGGATCTGGAATGGGATGTTTTCTATGTTGCGTATTCTCCAAATCTGAACTATTAAACAAAGAACACCGAACACCTCAGAACTAGAAAATTGATGAATTGAAATACCTTTGAACAGTTTATTGATTTGTTTTTTACAACTTATCGATACCTTCCAGGTTATTTAAAACCAGGTGATACTTTTTGATTGTAATATTTTTTTAGATAATAATGATTTCCTGATACAAGTTCTACTGATGAACCCATAGCAAGTGGGGAGAAGAGGAGGATTCGTACCTTTCCCAATGGTATTTGCGCCTAAATGAATATAATGTACCAGACTGGAACTGGAACTCGGCTCTCCAATTTCCAATTTTGAACTGTTATTCTTCACACCACCAGCCCACCCAAGATTACAGCACCTGGTATATCCAAGCGGTCAGTCATCTGGGTACTGACTAATCTCGACGTTGCTTGATTTCGCTGATATATCTTTGAAGGAAGATGCATAACAAACATCATATAAACCAACACAAAAATTTTAAATGCATCCTTCGAATTTGGTAAATACGATGCAGCAAGAATGTGAAATTGGAAAGTTTTCCATGTGGCGAATTCTCTAAACTTGTCATGCGTACTTTTTATACATACAACATTCCTGGTTAATATATAATTCATTTTACCATGTTATGCTTTTCAATGTATTGAAATCCTGTCAACTGCCATGTAAGAAGATAAGAACACAGCCTCACCACGTGAGGCATTGTTGATCTGGATTTTGAGCTAAGAGGTTACACCAAAACGCTTTTGAATTCAGAGTTGTCCTTCTCCTAAACTGGTTACCAACCATGGCTAAAGAGTCCAGACTAGCCTTCTATAAACGCTTCTTTTTAAATGGTTTCACCCCAAGCAAAGTAATAAAGCCACTAAGACGCAAGAGGGTTACTAAGTGTTAGAGAATACAAGAAAAATACTATTAAGGATAGAGGAAAATAAAAGAACAAGAATTAAGAAGGTAGAAGATAATGATTGACGTTACATTTAAATCATTAGAAAGCAAGAAGCCAGGAGAAAGTTCCACAAACGAAAAGGGCAATAGAAGAAACTGTTAGCATGTTCCATCTAGCCATTTCAGCTGTAAAATGATGAGACCTTGCCGCCAATCTAGTACTGCGTTTAAATGCATAAAGTGTAAGTACCATAGACAAAAGTTCATCAGAACAATTACCATGAAAGTATTTATAGAAAAGGTAGCAAACGGTGGGAAAGTGAGTGAAGCCGAGATGCCAGGTAAGAGTCATTAATATTGCAGTCAAGATAGTACTGCACTTACATTCATAAAGCGGCAAGTTCATCAGAACAATTAGCATGAAAGTATTTATAGAAAAGTGACAGAGAAGCTAAATTACTTCTCGATAGGGAAAGAATATATGGATTCACGCCTACCCAAAAATATTTAAGCGAAAGCAAACGCAACTATACCTAGATATGAATTTGAACTCGGTACGCCAATTCTACATTTTGCGCCGATAACCACTACGTTATGCATCCCCCCTGTTTTATAATACTCAATGTGTAACTTCTCATTTATAATGTGTTAAAATATTTTACCTGTGTGTAACAGGGGGTGGGGGGTCGTATTCGTGTAGGCGTTTGTCTATGGAGATTTCGACTCGCAGAGCCAGGAATCAATATAGTAGTTACAGAGACATTATTTTAGCGTTCGCATTAGCAGAGAAATGACAGAAATTAATACTTCTTGGGGATGTGTCGTGTAGCCATTTCGATAACGGTAAGCGGGACTGACAAGATGGATTCTTTCTCCGCTGACACTCGATGATATGATCCACACAAAAGCTCCCATGTTGCCTGCTAATTCCTATCTTCATATATACACCACATCAACCACAAACTACGCAAATATGTATCGATTATTTATTCCAGTGTAATTACATTCTGAATTAATATTTTACTCTAAGCAACATCCTTTCACAAGCCACACATTCAAGATGTCTTCATTCACTAAAACAAAATTCAAATAAAATCCTAATCCTTTTACATATATCATATCGCTACACTTTCTTTATGAACTGGAGAGATAACTTAGGTTTAACTTTTTTAATCATTTTACACCAAACAAGGCTATAAAGCCACTAAAACGCAAAAGGGTTACTGAGTGTGGGAGAATATAAGAAAAATAATATTAAAGTGAAAGGACAATAAAAGAACAGGAACTAAGAAGATAGAAGATAACTGTGGCACCATGCATCCTGACGATTTGAAAGAAATATTCATAGCTATATGATTTGTTTTTTACGATTTATCAACCATTTAATAATTATTTAAGGCCGAAAAATATTTTAGGTTTTAAGAATAATTCTTTCTTTGCATTCAAGCAATTTGGAAGAAAGAAAGAGAAAACGAAGAAAAAAAAGAAAGAAAAAAATAATACGAAAACGGGTCATAGGCGAACACACACACAGACGGCTAGAATTGATAGGTAGCAGATGTCGAAAATATCTAGGTCACCTACGAACAAGCATTTGACCGATTTCCGTGTGTCCACGAAAAATGGAACTTTGTTATCAATTGGATGTCACCCAGGGAAAAGAAAGACCATTGTTGAAACATTGACGAAACACAGACAGTCTTCAGAATTAGAAAAATCCCACCCAAGAAGTTTTCACTGGCAAAATTTTTCTTTCTTTTGACAGAATAAACGCTTGCCCTGCGATAATAAAGATTTTCGTTATCAACACATGAGCCGAAAGGAAAATGAAATATTTTTATTTCGCTTCAGAAACGCCAGCTAGCCTAGGAAATTCCTTCTTGGATCATGTCCAATTAGCGATAAACTGCTTGACAAATACCACGTGTTAAAAAGCTGAGAGTGTCATCTCAGTCGCTCATGATAAGAGCGATTTAATTAATATTTTTTTTTTTTTGTTAAGCAAGGTATTTCTTTCCCTAAACAAAACCGCGGATTGTTCACGCCCGACTAAGACGTCATTGGCCAAGTAGATCACATGACGCACGAAGGAGGAGGAAAGATACCCGACCAGGACCTCATTGGCCGAGAGCGGTCACGTGACGCACGAAGAAAATCGGTCGACGCCTCTATCAGAAGTGTAAGTGTGAGGAGCCGATACGAAGAAGTGGGGAAGTTAGTGCACGCCCCTCAGAAGCATAGTAAGAGAGTGGGAGTGAGAGGAAAGTTACCGAAAATGGAAAGGAGTAAAAAAAAATCCCTAACCAGAAATAAGAAGGGTGGAGATGTATTTAGAATTATCGAAGAACCCCTGGTGCCGACAGATCCACTCCAGTTTTGACGGGGTCAATAAAAGCGAGAACCCAACCGACAGAAATCAGTTCGTTCGACCCAAGCTGGAGAGAAGAAGTTTGAGTTCAGCCGCGGACCCTGGCGAGAAGTTTTGAGCTTTGGACGACAAGCAGAGATGAACGCCCAGTGTTGAAACCGCGTCAAGATAGCTGACCAAGATTCACGCACACTTTTGGACTCTTCTTCAACCAAGAACAAGTAGTTTGAAGAGCGACTTAGAATCAGACCACAGAAATAAGTTTTTTCGACTTTCGTCAAAAGACACACCGAAACACAGGTTTCTTAGAGAGCAGACAACTTGAAGCCTTAAAGTTTGCCTAGCGAAAGCGCCGTGCCACAATCCACAGAACGGGTCGGGAAGTAAACATAGTCCTATGTACCGAACAAATAGACATAAAAGTTTGTTACCTTTTTCTTTGATACTTTGGACTTTGTGAGTTTTCATTTTATTTTCTTTTTATCCATAATTGTGTTATCACCCCGTTGAACTCAGCTTGCATTACGGCCCCGACCCTGTTTAATCTCGTCTGTCTAAGATCAATTCACAACGTGGGTAGACAGACTGGGGATCAGTGCAGTTACCCTGGTAACCAGGCGTTGGAAGCAGGTTGGGAACGGCGAGGCTGGTATCAATCTAACCAGATTCCTACCCGAATCACCAAAGGGTTAGAACGTCACGTTTGGAGCAGCGAGGAGCGAACAGCTGACGCCGCGGCGAAGACGTCACATAACGATTGACGTTGCATTTAAATTTTTGAAGATCAAAGTTGACTGGAAATCAAGAAGCCGGAAGAGAGTTCCACAAGCGTTAGAAGAAACTGTTAGTATAGAACTTACGGTTACATCTAGCCATTTCAGCTGTAAAATGATGAGACCTTGCCGCCAATCTAGTACTGCGTTTAAATTCATAAAGTGTAGGTACCATAGACAAAAGTTCATTAGAACAATTACCATGAAAGTATTTATAGAAAAGGTAGCAAATGGTATAAAACGGTGGGAAAATGATTGAAGCCGAGATACCAGGAAAGGGTCATTAAAATTGCAGATTCTTCTTTGGATTTGAATTGTCTACAGAAAGTGGCAGTTGTGTGTGTGTGTGTGTGTGTGTGTGTGCCTGGATCTTAGAGCCGTGGATCAAACGAGACAATGCTATGGCACCTATTCATAATGATTAGCAAGCGAATCACGCGAAGTGATTTTTATGCTACATTTCACCTCCCGTGAGTGAAAGAAATTTCCCTATCATACCATTTGCAGACTCACCTGCTAATTCGAACCGAAAATTCTCACTCAAAATATTTCAAAGGTGAAATCCTTTTTTTACCAGGAAATCTGGCATTTTCGCTAACTGCTAATTTTTATACAAAATTTAATTCAATGCAAGGCTCGAGAGCTACTCAAGGTAGAGGGTTACAGTCAACGAAATAGTAATGCTGAATATGCACGATATGAATCGCAGAAAAAATGGTACGAAATGAAGATTGTTTTGGATAAAGAGGGAAGTTAACTATTGCTCCTTGACTTGAAGAGGTTAAGATTGCAATGTTTAAGGAAGTATCCTTGCAGGAGTCTGTTCCACAAAGTATTAGTTCTTGTGAAAAATTTGGAATTCCTTCTTAGATGGGGGAAATAAGGATGATTCAACTCCTAAAAGTAGCATGTCGAGTTGTAGCTGGAAATGTCTGAACTGGTAGAACTAAAGAATGGAGCACTTTGCAATGGAAATAGCGATAGACTTGCAACGTTGTGTTTATGGGAAAGAAGTTGCCGAGTGGAAAGTAAGTCATCACCCACAAGACCGTTTAAGGGATTTAGAATTCTATCGTAACATTGTCCGGACATTATATGTGATTAAGTATATAGCTCGAAATAGTCGTTGTTGCGTTTTGGAGCAAAACGTTTCTGTGGCTACATTTGCATCCACAGCTGTCTTCAGGACAATACACTTACTGAAAATAAAATCAACCGTCTTTGCACCAGTAGAAAAAAAACTGTAGCATTATATTACATAATACATATGGTATGTATTAGCTACTTTTATTGTTCCAAGTAGAAAAATTTTATCGATTAGTTGTCAGTGATGGATTGGGAGAAGTGAGTGAAAGAGGCTCCCCAATCATAGCATTTGCAGACTCACCTACTCTTCTGAGGCGAAAAATGTTCATTGAAAAAAAAACCCTTTTTATCAAGAAATCACGCATTCTCGCTAATTAGTGATTCGTCAATTCACGGGCTTTCATTTTTTTCCTTTTTTGTGGGAACGTCACCTGATCTCATCAAATATACCGTATGTCTGATACACGATATATTTCTAAAACTTTCCGTGGTAGGTTTTTTTTTTTTTAGTTAGATCTTATTGTTTCCTCATAATCTTTAAACTTAACATATTCTTCTCCATTTTAATACAAACTAAGAAGGCTTTCGGATTTACTGGTGGCGTCCTGTTGATCTATTGCCAGATTATCCAAGTTCATCTATATATTCATTTCACCGGGAAGGAGTGGCTAGACCAGTTCATAGTGCAGACCATTCCTCTCTCGTCGAGAAGTGATACTTGTCCCCCCCATTCACTTACGATTGTGGCCTGTCCCTTCTCACCGAATCCCCAGTCGTTGTAAAATTCTAACTTTACTAAATCTCAATAAGATTTTTCCTCAGCGAAAAAACTGAAACATTTTAATATTTTGATGCGTGGTTTAGGTGTTAGAACCTTAGCGTTCCGATCATGAAACCCGGGTTCGAAACTTACCATGCTCAGGTTGTCAAAGAGGTGACTTCTTGATAAATATCGTCCTCGGGATAACGACCCCAGCGTGAGACCCCGTTGGAAAGTGCTTGAAAACCATACCTAAACCTTATGAGTGACATTTGTTTGAGGAAATCACTCGGAAGCCATGATAGCCTGAAGTCACAAGTCATCGTGGCCTAAGGATTCGAGCGCCCTTACCTTGTTCAAAATGGTTTCTCACAGAAACTTTAACGAAGATCCACTCAGAATAGTTGCCGTATAAACAACTGGTTAGCTTTATGATTGTTAAAGAACAACAAATGTATGATTTATTTATTATATGTTAATCTTTCATTGTAAGATTTATATAGCTTTTATCATTTGCAAAGATATTTATAGTGTTTTCCTATTAAAATATGCATGTCTTTTTAAGTGTATAAGAAGAATTATAGTTACTATTATTATTATTATTATTTTACTTGACAACGACTATAGCTTTTGAAAAACTTGTGCCAAGCTAGTAAACCCCGTTTACACAGGTATACGAGGTCTGTCCGAAAACTAACGGGACTGATGTCACAAACAATTTATTTCAATTCCAAACAACAAACTACATGGTATCCCTTCAAAATAATCTCCGTTGAGTCTAATGCACTTTTCCATCCTTCTCTGCCACGCTTCTCTGCACTGCTGGGAGTCATACCGAGCAAGATCAGGTGAATAGGGATGTTGTTCCAGTACGGCAATGTTCTTCTCGGCCACGAACTGCCGGATGCTCAGGGCGTTATGAGTAGGTGCATTGTCTAGATTTATTGTATATAAAATAAAATTGTGGCACAAGGCCGAAAATGGTGGGGGGGGGGCTTAGGCTGGTCATCATATACTATATTATACCTAGCTAATCAGATTCAAGACCCATTCACTCATTACAATTTGCACATCCACCAAAAGAACTTATCTCTCATCATCTAATACTCCAGATACCACAATACCCCATACTCGCAGGAGACTTATAAAGACACCCCATGACATGAAAATTAACGATTATAAAATTCTATATACAAAAATCTGTGGATGATACGTCATGAGTGGCGGGGGTGGAATGAACCCAAAAACAAACTAAAATATCAAAACAAATCCACAAAATAAAATGATAACTGATGTTAGTTGGACCCGACAAACCCTCAAAAGAATTCAGAGAGGGCCGCTGTATTCTGGCTTTAGACAAAATCAAGAGACTCTCTCACAAAGAGAGACGAAAAGGATAAAATAAATACGGCTATGGGGAAAGAGGAAAGCTGACCCAGTCAAGGTAAAAAAGTGGGGCCAAAAACAAACTGAGTAGGTTGGGAATCTCGATTTGGATCATAACCAAAGTAGAAGCCAAGAACAGGCCGGTAACGACACTTACTCGCATTAGGTACACAAAAAAGGGTCTATCTTAACCAGCGGAGGACTCCACAGGAAACCACACCGATGTGACTTAAGTGGACCTAAAAAAGGCTAACCCCGTTGATATGAACTAGGCCCGCCCCAGTCATCACCTTTCGCTGAAACTGTCGAAACCTATTGCTTTCTATCAGTTCTCATCTTCATCTTGAGCTGATGCCCAACAGGTGCATTGTCGTGGTGAAGCAACCACGATTTGTCTTACCACAACTCACGCATGGGAAAATAATGCAATGATTTCAGAAAGTTAAGATTAGTTATATACTCCCAAGATGTTAGCTGATAACACAATCCGCTTATTCCTCTTTCATCCATAGCTCACATAGCACACCCAGTTCCATTGCTTTTCAGACAGACAACGCGATTCAAAAAGAAAAAATTAAATACAAGCATCAAATTTATGTCAACAGTAATATGTCAAGGTTTTATGAATTCCATGATTGTTGTTGGGTTTACGGCCATATCACGTTGAAACACCGGTTCCCGTTCGATCACCGAAGTTAAGTAACGTCGGGCCTGGTGGGTACCTAGAGGGGTGACTACTTGGAAATACCAGGTGCTATAAGCTTGGATGTGCAGTGGATTCAATGGACAGTGGCTCTGAATTGTTAATTGGAGAGCCGAGTTCCAATTTCTGTTGGGTTCGTTATATTCACTTACACGCAAATACTCTTCAGAAAGATATGAATCTACCAGTTCTCCCCCAGATATGCTACTAAGGGGACTCTCTCTCTCTCTCTCTCTCTCTCTCTCTCTCTCTCTCTCTCTCTGTACCCCTCATTGGAATACTTATTTATATTAGAGTTCCAAGGCGGAATATCTGTTTTCCGACGAAGTGTAACTTGATCCCACATATTCATTTATTTGTTTATTTCCTTTCTTCTACTTCCGTCAAGTAGATTGTCGCATTGAACACTACATTTCAACTCGACTTCAAAGTCTTCATCTTCCAGATATTTAAAAAAAAAAACGACCCTTCAGACACCAGTAACATCATCTAGAGTGCTCTTGAATTCGTGTGTGTTTATCCGTTCGTACAAGGGGCACATTGTTCCACACGTAATTACCATCGATGTCAGTGATATGTGTTCTAGTCCAGGTAAGATATCAAGATTTCGAATACTGATTTTTTAAGGAAAGTCGCCCCGACCCTCACTTGAAAATCTTCCTATCCGCATTCTTAACTCGTTATTTCCCTTGCGCCGTTCTAAACCCATAAGTATCTTTACAAAAAAGACAAATTGTATCTTTTTTATATCACAGCTAACCAAACTATGGATTAACTTGTAAGACAAACTGGGATCTATAGCTTGACAACCAGTTTATGTGAATAAGAATTAAATTTAAAACCGCGAAAACAACTTCGTTTACCATTAACAATAAGAGTGCACAATTTTCAGATAATCAGTCAGTTATGTGCCATGCGTGATACATGCTTAGGTGATCATGTATCTTTCGAGACATGACTGACGAGGCAGATTTTTCTCTCAGTAGAATGCCATTGTTTTCTGCGGTAGACCAGTTGCCAGAACTTGGTTTGTCCTGCTTTTACCCATAGTTGGTGGGAGAAGAAGAGGATTCATACCTTCCCCAAGGGTTTTAGCATGTAAGTGAATGTAATAGATTCGACTGGAATTCGAACTCGGCTCCCCGATTCCTCAATCCCAGTCGCTATCCATTTCTCCACCGTGACTCCTAGTTTACAGATAATCAAACAAAAAAGAAGATGCGAAGGGCAAACTTAAATAACATAACACCTAGAGTACCAAACTAGAGTCAAGTCAAAAGAAAATGTTGAATACACTCGTGTATACATGTTATTAGCTGAAATGACAATTGTGAACTCATGATTCTCGGTAAAATTAAATTTCTAAGGCGCATAATGAGGAAAAACGGCTTAGAGAATGTGACACTCACAGGAAATGTTAAAGGCAAGAGGGACAGAGGAGGATAACGAATAAACTGCCTAATAAGCTTGTGTAATTGGTTAGCAAAACAGGGATTAGGAGAGATAGCAAAACGATAAACCTTAGTAAGAGCTACAAACGACAGGAAGATGCGGAGAGCCATGATTGCCTACGTTTTCAAGGTACACAGCACATAAAAGAAGAAGTCATTGTAACTACAGTATACTTTCTTTTTTTGCCCTTATTGAGAAAAAAAAAAAAAGAAAAAAAACAGAATCCGGTCTTCATGCATCAGAACCACTTCCGCTCGAGAAATAACGTACGCTTTTATTCGGTAAAATATTTTACGGGCTTTTTCTTTGAAAAGCGAACATCTCTGTCAGAAAAAAAATATGTAAATTCTTTTCTCTGACATGTTCTTTACACTTCAATCAAAAGACAAACTTCCATATCATTTTCCGGTCGTAACATGCTGACTAGTTTCAGAATTCCCTGTGCCAAAAGCACTTTAAAGAACCCACTGAACTGAAAATGTATCGAGACAACTGTCATCCTTTCAAAATACTATATTTTCCGGTCTATGAAACATATGCTTGCCAGCCAATAAGACGCATATTTTACAAGGTCATTTCAAGGCCAATAATATCGAAAACCTTTTAAGAAGAACGAACGGTTTCGGACGGAGAAAAAGGTAGTTTTTATAATACAAAAAATATAGATGTTCAAAAAGATATAGTTGGTGCTTTGATTTATTTTTCAATTAACAGTTTCGATTTCCAAGTCACTGATTTTTTTCCTTTGTCATATTAATGCGCATTTATTTAATATAATTAGAATTAATACTTTAATAATTGTGTCTCTGTGGGTGTGTGACGCGCGTTAATTTTTTTCTTTCTATCGAATATTTATTCTGCCCTTCTCTGCATGTACATCCATTACTCAAGCTATCCAAGAGATGCAGACCCCCGGGTTTATAGTATAGGGTATCCTTAAGCAAAGCCCTAATATTCAAGCTTATTTGATTTAATCATCGCAGACAACCAATATATATATATATATATATATATATATATATATATATATATATATATATATATATATATTAATAAATATACATATACCTACGTTTGTGGCGCGACTTAAGTTTCGTTCGTTACCCAACTCTTCAGTCATATATATATATATATATATATATATATATATATATATATATATATATATTTCTTAGCTCTGTCTAACCACATCGAGCACTGTCATGTTTACACCTTAAGGTAAATCTGGTAAATATTTATTTGCTTACCTCCGTAAACGAGCTACCACGTATATACAGTTGCTAATATCTAGTTATTTGACTTACCTACTCTCTATACCTACTTATATATATTAAAGCTTCGTCAGAGATTGAGAGAAAACACACAATTTTTCTCAATATCTGGCGAAGCATTGACATACCTTTCCTATTTGTTCCTTATCTTATCGTATATATATATATATATATATATATATATATATATATATATATGTATGTATGTATATATATATATATATATATATATATATATATATATATATATATATGGTGTAATGGCTGAATTGTCGCCATTTTTTCTTTTTTTATTTCGCGCATGCGCGTTGTTTGTTCTTGATTTTATCGACAACACAGTATAATAGGGTCAGTTGGGCACCATCTGCGAGAGAAAGAGTACAAGAAAATTTTGTTCAGGTTTCATTTTTTTTTCACTTTATTTTTATTTATTTGCTGCTTAGAGGAAGCACGGGTAAGAAAACGGAAGGACGTTTTCGTGTGTTTATATTAAAATTTTGACAAAGACAATCTGTCACTACCACAGCACGAAGCGCAAAGAGATTCAAGCCATACCAACTCATTTCGGATCGTTTCTAACCAAAGTTCAAACCATTTCTGTTGAGTCTGGAATTCTATTCACAACAATTATCATTTTACTCTGTCGAGCTGATGCTTTCCGTAATACGACCATTTTTTTTTTTTTACTGAGAATTGCAGAATAACAATCTGATAATTGCGATAAAAAGCCACAGAAATTAAGATGAAAGAAATACTCGTAAATATAATTACACCTGAAAGCAACGACTTTTGATGTAAAGCAACGGGCAGCAGGTTACACTCTCAAGCCACGGGTAGTAAGTTCGATCCCTAATAGGCGGCATGCAAAAGATTTATGACAGTTATTTTCTAGCGGCATTTTTGTTGTTTTTGGTTTTTGCTCTCTCTCTCTCTCTCTCTCTATCTATCTATCTATCTATCTATCTCTCTATCTATCTATCCATCTATCTCTGCCTCGCTCTCTCCCTCTATCTATCTATCTATCTATCTGCCTCTCTCTCTCGATTTCTCTCTCTCTCGCTCTCGATTTATCTCGATCACACTCTCTCGACTTCTCTCTCTCCCTCTCTCTCTCTCTCTCTCTCTCTCTCTCGATTTCTTTTGATCTCGCTCTTGATTTCTCCCTCTCAATTTCTCTCGATATCTCTCTTGATTTCTCACTCTCTCTCTCTCGATTTCTCTCATTGCCTCTCTCTCTCACTCTCGATTTCTCTCTCTCTCTCTCTCACGATTTCTATCTCTTGATATCTCTCTCTCTCTCTCGATTTCTCTTGATCTCTCTCTTGATCTCTCGATTTCTCTTGATCTCTCTCTCCCTCTCTCTGCCTCTCTCTTTCTCTCTCACTCTAAATTTCTTTCTTGATCTCTCTCTCTCTCTCTCTCTTGATTTCTCTCGGTCTCTCTTTCACGATTTCTCCCTCTCACGATTTCTCTCTCTCTCTCGCGATTTTTCGCGATCGCTCTTGCTCTTTTATTGTTTGAAATGAAATCATTATACGCGATATTTAAGAAGCAAAATTGAAAAGAACACAATCAAAACAAGTTATATTTGAACGTCGACTATAGATTTTACGACCGGAAAAAGAAGCCATGACTTACGGCTTCCTTGAGAATTCCGATAAAATTCCGGAATGTTTCGTCATTTCAAAATCTATTTACTGACTAATACAGTATTACCTGCTCGAATATCTAAACTTGTCTTGTGTCCATTATGCGCGTAAAATGGAAAACGTGTCTTCCCTGATTGCATCAAGTTGATCACCCAAAATCCTGGTTCATTTGTAAATATATCTGTTGAATGAGACAAAAACTCTCTCTCTCTCTCTCTCTCTCTCTCTCTCTCTCTCCTCTTCTTCTTGTTCTCATGTGAACTCTTTAGTGTTTTCTCAAACAACATTTTAAGCTCTACTGTGAAGCGATTAGGGAACTAAATGTTCTACTTGGATTTATTATTGGTGGGTACAACCTCAACAATCTAATGCAGATGACATCATACTGATGTTAAACACAGGAAAAACTGCAGGTACTTCAAGGCGAGGTGTCAAAGGAAGGCGAGAAGAAAGGACTAACTATCATTTGTAAGAAGACAGAATGGATGACGGTCGGCAAGAGGGACAGCCTAAGATGCAAACTACAAACTGGAGATGTCAAAATAAAGCAAGCACAGAAATTGAATTATCTGGAAAGTGTTATAACAGACGATGGAAAATATGAGACCGAAATCCGAAAATGCATTGGAATAGTGAAAGATGCCTTCCAGAAACCAAAGAAAATATAAAGGAACAGGAAAATCTCGATGGAAACAAAGATCACGGTGCTCAAATGTCATGTAATATTAATGTTCTACTAGTGAATGCGAGACCATTTTCCAACTGATGGAGAAGAAACTTGAGGCAAAAGTGATGTGATTATACAGATGTATGCTGAGAATAACATTGACTGAACATATGAGAAACAAGGAAGTTTTCTAAGAATGTTACAGGAACAAGAAAGGGGAATAATTGAAGATGAAAATAATAGCACTGGTCAACACGGTTTTTGGTGCCAAGAAGCAAAATACGTTTCTTACATAATTTGATAGTGCCGATTCCGAAAACGACCTTAGTTTTTCATGGTTAGCTACCATTTTTGCTGTACTGAAATTTCTCATTTTTGGAAAATCGAACAATTTAAGATCTTGGCTGATCGCAAAATTTAGTTGATAAAGGTCGTAACCCATCAATTTTCAGGTAGGCTGAGTATTTTATGTCAGCCACCTGAAAGAAACTATTTTTATAAGAAAAAGTGTTTTGGGGTTAAAAATTTTTAAATAAATGTACCGAAGTTTTCCAATTTATCGCCAAAATTCAAATTAACTGAAAAACTTTATCAGTAATACAATTTAGTAAACCTGATAATTAAGGTGATATAAAAAAATGAAACCCTAAAATCTTCTGTTTAATATTTATAAATTTATTTCATCACTTTTATCACATCACTACGGAAGGAAACCAAACACATTAAGAGCATTTTGTTTTCACAGTTGGAAAGAAACTCCAACTAAAGACATCCCAATTGAATGCACTTATTCCATTGCACATGATAGTGCAGAAGTATCAAAAGGGACTTAAATAATATTGAACATGACAGACAATCAAGGAAAAAATGTTTACCATAGTTTTTATGTTCACGAAGGTTTTGTTTCTGCTGTTAGTTTATTAAATGATTTGATGAAAATACTTGTTGATCTTGGTATATTCAATCGTGTTATTTTTAAAGACTTAGGGTCTGATTGTTATTGCAAAAATAGTATTTTTCAATAAACAGACCAATATTTGTTGGTTTAAATACGAATTGAGAGGTTTCTATGATTTTATTTTCAGAAATATTGCCATCAGTCAATAAGATATATACAGAAAACAAATGAAAAAAATTGTTTTTTCCAAAAATGACGCATTTCTCTACAGCAAAAACGGTAGTTCACCAAGAAAAAGTAAAATCATTTTCAGATTCAGCGCCCCCCTCAAATTAGCTGAAAAAAAAGATGTTTGGTGTCTTGACACCATTTCAATTTTTTTTTTTTTTTGTTTTTGTTGACCACTCTTATACAGATGTATACTGAGAATAACATTGACTGAACATGCGAACAACAAGGAAGTTTTAAGGAAAATTGGAACGTAAAGATTACTTATGCCTATGATCAAAAAGATACAGCTGAAATCTCAGAGACACATAATGGGGATTAGTTGATTGTTTTTTCAGCTTATCAAAGCTTTATATGTTATTTAAAGCCAGAAAATATGTTTAGATTATTAGAATATTTTGGAGATAATAATAATTTACTGATGCAAGTCTAATTAACCCATGGATGGTAGGAGTAGATGTGGATTCATGTCTTTTCCTAAGTTTAAATGAATGTAATGAACCCAACTGGAATTGGAACTCGGCTCTTCGATTTCAAATTCTGAGTTATTAGCTATTATATCAGCTGCACATCCAACCAAGTATTCCTAAACCGTCACTCATCTAGTTACTGACCAGGTTTGGCGTTGCTTAACTTTGATGATCGTACGAGAACCGGTGTTTCAACGTGATATGGTCGTCAGCCCCACATAATGAAGGAATTAGAAAATATGACCGTCACGTGACACACCGAAGGCAAAAGGCGGGAAAAGAGGGAAACAGCGATTAACCTACGTAACGAGCGTGTGTAAATGGATAGCAGACCATAAACAGGGTGGGGGGGGATTATAATGAAAAGAAAAAACGTTGCTTAAAGCTTAGCTATAAAGGACGAAGAGCCGTAATCCATTACCTTTTGAAGGAACGTATCACATGAAAGATTGTATTGCCTTAGCAAAACTAAATGGAAATTATACAAAAGGGATGAATGAAGATGTTACGGGACAATGGAATAAAATCAATAACAAAAGAATAAGAATATTAAAAAAAATACATTTTCCCATTATGCAAGTAATAAAGGAACCGGAAATGGTTTTTGGCCACCTGCACAATTTTAAGACCCCACTTTCAGAAGGGACAGAACCTTCCACTTTCGAACGATAGCATTCGGACGTGTTTTGGCAGCCCCAGTCATGAAGTAATTACTTTGGCTGTTCCAACTCAACGCAAGGCTGACTTGAGCTCGACCATTTTAAACATTCTTATTCTTTTTTACCCTTACTTCTGGACCGGAAGAGACATTGAGAATTTTATGTCACTCCAGTATATATAAAAAAAAGAGAATAAATGTTCCGTAGTAGAAAACCAATATAAACTCGCCCACACCCTACAATATACAGCAACACACAACCTTTAAATTCTATAGCGTATATGTACAGCTGTCCTTTTTCGTACGTACGGATGTTCACAGTTCCAATGAAATGCAAATGAAACAAAGTTCTTTATTCCTTGGTTTGGTAGAATTATTAGATATGACTGTGTAGACAAGTAAGCCTCGAACATTGTATTGTCACATTGAACTCAACACAGAATGGTTTATATTGAGTTCAATGCGACATGAAGCTCGCTAGAAACAGAAAAGTCCCCCCAGAGAGGAACGAGACACGTCGTATCTCTAAAAACATCGTCTGGATAAAAAAAAAAAAACAAAGAGAATGATACTTTTTCTATTTGTTTTTTTTGTTTTGTTTTGTTTTGTTTTTGGTTTTTTTCTGATATACTGTTTTGACAACGCCATCTAGCGGTCGTTAACAACAGTTTTTGATAGACAAGTAAGGTAATCCCACGGTAGCACAAACCAAAACTTATTTTTTGAGTGTTAACAAATCCATTGTCGGCTTATTGTAATAAATGGTTGATTCTGTTAAGTTTTAAAAACAGATTTCTTATCAGTTCCCGTCTTTGGCTTAATAACTAAACTCAGCCATTTCATCTACTTTTAGGAACACTTGAAATAAATTCATTGCCCCACAGAAATCTTTTTATGTTATAATTCTACTTGTTCCTTAGCTATTTTTTTTTTTTAGCACGTAGGTTAGGCCCTGTCAATAGGTTATCAATAATTGACGGTTCTCAATTGATCATACGGAAGGATGGAAAAGACATATCAGAACCGCTATTTGGTTTCAAAGAAAGAAAGAGAACATACAGGAGCTGATAACTCTCTCGTGTGTTTAACGTCTGCTTCAGTGAAATGAAAAAACTTGTCAAGTTCAAATATTTTCATTTGTACCCTCTTACTCCTTTAAATAATAACCTGCATTTATACTTATAAATGTTATTGCAATAAATTGTTACGCTCAAATACTTAACGATGAAATAGAGGAATTCCTATTTACAGACGTGGAACTTACCAACTAGCATGCTGCGGGTGCGTGATGTGTGTTGGAGAGGAATAGAAGGTTTGAATTATCAGAAGGCTTAAAATTGTGTGTGTTCAATAATCTTCCATCCACAACAATTAACACAAGACATAGAATAATTATTCAAAAACATAACGTATGTTTCAAAACGTAACAGTTGAATTTATTAGTGTTTGATGTACAAGCATAAGGTGTGATAGATGTGATGAAGGTGTGATAGAGTTATGTCTCTTAGATTTGGAAATATTTGTATTTGAGCTCATAAACTGAAAGTAATTATTAAACTGTAGTTTAGAAGAATAAAGTTTCTTTAGCATATTTGGAATTGTGTGTTGTAAAGTTCGTACTTGCGTGAACGTTGGTAATGGTCTTTAACGTCTGACTGCATTAGTTAAGACGGGAGTTCTTGAAGATTACATCTTGGCAGCAAAGAATGAGACGCGAGAGAGAGAGAGAGAATCACTCGTGTTTTGTTTTTATAATTTTGTTGTACCAGTGGGAGGCTCAGAACGAAAATGCGGGGAAATTCATTCCTCGCGTGCAGGATATCTCATTGGTCGGAACTGACCAATCAGCGAGCTAGCTTTGAGTAGATTAACCAATGAATGCTTTATATTTTGTAAGATTGTGATGGTGAAAATCACAACAGGAATAGTGCATTTCCTAGCAGGGGTTAACTGGCT